GTCCGGTCAATTCGGACCGCAGATCGGTTAAATGGTCAGTTAAAAAAGTTTTAAAAATCTGGTGGTTAATTTTTTTAAAAATCCGGAATAACCGATCCGGTTAACGGATTATCTGCGACAAACCGCCGGTTTAACCGGACCGGACCAGTAAATATTAAAAAACTATAACAAATATATATATACATTCAGTCATTCACTATGGCCGACAAATACAATACATCACTTTTACTTTTTGGCATTTGTTGACTTAATTTTGTAAGACACTATAACTTTTTACTTTTTTTCACCTTGCTTGAGTTTAGTTTGCATAATTTAATCTTCATCATTTTTGTATTTTTATGCTTATGGGACGAAATGTGTATTTTTATTCTTATGAGACGAATTGTGTATTTTTTATTTCATTATTGTTGTTTTTTTTTTATTTTATTTTTAGGCCCAAATAATCTCTTTTTGGCCCAAAATTGAAAATTAAAAATTAAGCCTAAAATGAAAAAAATAAAAATTGAAGGCCCAAAACAAAAAATTTGGATTTAACCGGTTAACCGCCAAACCGGACTGTCCAATCCGGTCCGAATTGTGGCCGGTTAAAAAATAAAATCGATCCGGTTATGGACAAAGAAAAATAACTGGTAGGTCTGGTTCGGTCATGGTTTGGGCTAAAACCGGATCAATCCGGACCATGAACACCCCTAGATGTGGCCACGGGCCGACGGGCCTCGACCCGGCACGGACCCGACCCAGTCAAACCCATTGACCACAGGTCTGAGCCCGGATGAATTTTCGACGGACCGTTAAAGGGTCATTATTTCATGACCCTGGTCCGACGGGCAAGGCCGAGTCAGATCGATGACTCATTTTTTATTTTTATTTTTTTTATATTATTTGATGTATTTTTTTTAAAAAATCACGACTCGACACGAACTCGAACTGTGCCCGGTTAATCGGGTCATGTACCCGACACGAGCATAGATCAGTGCCGGTTCAGGGTCCATGAAACCTAACCGGGTCGTGACCCAATTCGAGTTTTGGTCATGTCTAACTCGGAGTTATGCCACGACTAATCCGTTTAATCAACTCGGATCGTACACCTGACATCGGTGGTGGGTGAGTCTCCCAATATTTCTCCGCACTCCAATTCGAGCCTTGCTTAAGCTGCCAATCCTGTTGGGCCCAATAAGATTTTTAGCCCAACACATTCAAATTTATCCAAGAACCCCTGGCCCTATAAGAGAAAACCCCCAAAATAGCCGGCCCCAAACTAACACCTGGGTTGAGAAAAAAAAATGGAGTTTCAGACAAGGAAGTCGGCGGCCCTCGCCGCCATGGACTCGCCGGCGCCGGATAAATCCCCCAAAGGCACTATAGACGCGCCTATCGTCCCTCTACTGGACGCCATCAATTCCCACCCCTCCTACTTCACCACCAGCTCATGCTCCGGCCGCATCTCAATCCTCGCTCAGCCCACCGCCTCCCCCACCGCCCCCAAGAAGAAAGCCAGGGGCGGCTCCTGGCTGTTGGTTTCGCACGACTTCGTTTCCCCTTCCTCCGTGTCCACGCTTCTGTTCCCCTCACCTGTGGAGGCGGCCCGCCGCGATGTGAATGAGAATACGAACCAGAGTGTTGTGTTCCGGTTCGAGCCGTTGATAATTGCGGTCGAGTGTGAAAATCTGGAGGCCGCTCAGGCTCTGGTGTCGCTTGCTATCTCGTGTGGATTCAGGGAGAGTGGGATTACTGGTGCAGGCAAGAGGATAATTATTGCTATTCGGTGTTCCATAAGAATGGAAGTTCCTTTGGGGGACACGAAGAAGCTTATGGTGTCGCCTGAGTATGTGGAGTATCTGGTTGAGGTTGCCAACGAGAAAATGGCGGCTAACAGGAAAAGAACTGATCTGTTCTTCAGTAAGTTGGTGGAGAATGGGTTTCCTGGCCGTGGGAATCGAGTGAACGGTCAAATGAACGGAGATGGTGAAGAACAGAGTGTTGAGGCTAAGGAGTTCGAATCTTTTGGGAGTTCTGTGGAGAATGAGGTGGAGGTCTTGGAGGGAGAATTGAAGTCTGATAGTATAGCGGATCATGGTAACTTCTCACTCATGAGCTGATCTTTTTGCTGAATTTTTATATGCGGTATCAGCTCATTTGACTTTGATCGCTTATATTTATCAGAAATAGTTTGTAGAGTAATTGAACGGTGTCGTAACTCAGTTAGATTAGTAAATGTCTTATCTTAAGAACTAGATAATCATATGTTATTACTCATTGTATAGTTTGATTTCTTAATTGTACGTACTGGATGCTTATCATTTTTTCTTTCATAAAGTTGCTTAATGAGAGTATTATTTGGTTGAAGTTTTACATGTTGGTATCAGTTCACTACTTTGATTGCTGATATATATATATCAGAAATATTATGTAAAGCGACTGAATCATTTTGTAACTCGTTTAGAGTAACTAAGTGTACTATTCATGTCATCACTTATCAATTCCAACGTTATTGAGATGCCTATACACATTAGCTGAAAGGCATAATAAGATAAAACTCTTACATTTTATGCACTGCGTACATTGCACTAGACGTAAATCTTTTTGGTGAAATTTGATACAAATTCATGATAATACCGTTAAATCTAATAAGCGTCTGATTGCAGGATTGCTTATCCTTAAATCTCTCAGGCGTTTAAATCTTTGAATCGTTGGCAGGCTCGCTAGAAGCATCTGGCATCAATCTATCAGTTGTCAATATAGTTGGTGAACCTGTCGAGAAGCTTTTCTTGTGGGGTCATTCTGCATGTGTGCTGAACCGTGAGAAGAAGATTGCCATTTTCGGTGGCTTTGGAGGCATTGGTAGGCATGCGCGTAGAAATGATGTGTTGATTCTTGATACAGATTCTGGAAAATTGGATATAGTTGCTGTTGAAGGATCCCCATCTCCACGGTTAGGCCACACATGTTCGCTCATAGGAGATTCATTATACGTGATTGGAGGTAGGGCTGACCCAGTGAACATACTGAATGAAGTTTGGGTGTTCAATATGACAAAAAAGGAATGGAAGCTTTTGCAGTGTTCTGGGAGTTCCTTCCCTCCAAGGTAGTGATGACAAAATATTTTGAATAAATATATTTCATCCCTCTCTTTTTTTTTTTCCCCTTCAAGCTTCATCACATTTAGCTGTAATTAAAGGGGAAAATAGAAATATTTCTAGCTCTACATTGGTTATGATCTATTATAATTATTCAGAGTTCGGATCAACCTGATGTACTATGGATTCAGACTGTATCTCTTATGTGACTTCATTATTGTTATCCTACCAAATTTCAGCTCAAACTCATTGTTTTCCCTGCATGCCATTTAGTTGAGCTGTAATTCATATTGGCAATCTACAGGCACCGGCATGCAGCTGCTGTCGTTGGCTCAAAGATATATGTCTTTGGTGGAATTTTTGACGACTCAATTCTATCATCGATCTACGTCCTGGATACATGTACCTTTGAGTGGTCAGAGATAGAATCTCATGGGGACCAGCCTGGGGCCCGCCATTCACATTCAATGGACACGAAGGATTCCAAGTTGTATATGTTTGGTGGATATAATGGAGAGAGAGCTCTTGGGGATCTCTACACTTTTGATGTTCAAACAGGTCAGTGGAGTAAGTTAAAGACTAGTGGGCAGCCACCAAATGTGAGGTTCTCGCACTTGATGTTTGTGTATTCAAATTATATTGGCGTTTTGGGTGGCTGCCCTGTCAGTGAACGTCGTGAAATGTTCTTACTTGATCTTCAGTCGAATTCGTGGACGAATATAGCAGTAAAATCTATTCAGGAAGGCCTTCTTGTTCGTAGCACAATAAATGTGGTTGGTGATAATCTTGTAATCATCGGTGGCGGGGCATCTTGTTACGCTTTCGGAACAAAGTTCAGTGAGCCCATGAAGATTGACTTGCTTCAATTAATTTGCTTGTGCAAAGATACAAAATCTAGAACATCTGATGAAAAGCACATTGAGTATCAAATGGAGCCAAAGAGTGGTGCCGCATGTTATATCCAGAGTAGAAATGAACAGAAAGTTAACGGATTTGCCAATACAGATTCTGAATTTGAAGCACAGAGGATCAGTGAAAACCCGGTAGTGGTGACACCTTGTGTTCTCCGGATTGAAAAACAATATGCAAAATTGGGAAAGGACTTACTGAAAAAATTTGGTTGGTTAGACCTCGAGAGGAAGGTTTACTCCCAGGAATGTGGCGTGCATATTTGTCTTCCTGTTTCAGAAAAGTTCTGCACCATGTTAGAAGCTAAAAAGGATTTAACTGAAAAATTTGTTCCAGTTACAGATCTTCATTCTTTAAAGCCATCAAGTTGGCAAGCTTTATTGAGAGATACATCAAGTCCTGCTGCTTTGAACCTGCTATTCTCATTTGGGGCAACCATGATTGTGGATGAAGTTGTTAAAGTGAAGAAAAATCCAATTTCTCCTTTCAAAGCAATGAAGGAAGTTGTAGCCTCTTTGTTGAATCGCCATGGTCTGCCAGCTGAACTTATAGAGCAGTTACCGACAAGGTGGTTCCTATGATAATAGAATTGTTGTTTACTTGGTAGGGTTGTAATTAAGAACCCTTTATTTTTAGTTCATTATACTTATTGTAAGACCTTTTTTATATTTAGCAGATGGGAGAGACTTGGAGATATAATCGTGCTTCCTGTAATGTCCTTCAAGGATCAAGTGTGGGAATCAATTGGCGCAGAACTTTGGCCTCTTGTTGCAAGGTCACTTGGAACTCAACGCCTTGCACGACAAGTTAGTGACTAATGCGAATCTTTACTGATGTCAGGTTCTTCGTTTGTAAACCTTGTTCCAGACCTTCAAAGGAAAAGTACTAATACAAATAATAGAAAAGGAGCACAAAATAATAGTCTAATAAAGAAACCTTCATTTTCCATTAGACATAGATTTTTAAACAATTACGTTTGAAATCGACATTGCATAAATTCAAGTAATGATTCTGTTTTTCTTCCATGTATTTGGAAAAGCAGTTGCATTTCGACATCTGGTCTGCAATTAGAATATCATCCAAATTATTCGAAGCTATTGAGTTTGGTCTGAATTTTATTTTTCCTGTAGCTGAAGGTGCTTTGAGAAAATATAATAAAGAGTGATGATGATGTTTAGGGTCAAATTGCACAAACTGGAACGAGAGACAGTAAGTTAGAGATTCTTATTGGGAATGATGGATGGGTTGACCACCGTGAAAATGGCATACTTTACTCTTTTGATGCTACCAAGTGCATGTTTTCATGGGGCAATTTATCCGAAAAGCTGCGTATGGGCAATCTTGAATGTAGAGATCAAGTGGTTGTAGATTTGTTCGCTGGCATAGGATATTTTGTACTCCCATTCCTTGTGAGGTGCTTCTATTGTCTAAGTTTTTTTACGTATCAACTTTAAATAAATTGCTGCTGGGATTGTTTTAGTATCTTTTACTTCAATCTATTAGTGATTTGAATATATTTAATTATTCACATGAGACGTGACCAATCAGGGCCAACGCCAAAATGGTGTATGCTTGTGAATGGAACCCACATGCTATAGAGGCACTTCGTCGAAATCTTCATGCTAATTCTGTGGCCGATCGTTGTATTGTACTTGAAGGTGATAATAGACTCACTGCTCCTAAGGTATGTTCTCTCCCTCCTACAAGGTGATTATTATTTGTTTATTTTGTTTGGTTTTATTTACACCCCAACTGTATTTGAATCTATTAATATTATTATTGCTGTGTTGTTATAGTTATAATGATAGCATTAATATTTTACTGGTAGAATTATTTATTATAATATGATCAGGACTTAATCATGTGCCCCTTTTTTGTTTTTTTTTGTGTTGTTACACTGTGTTCTAACTTGAAGCATGCGATCGTAGGATGAACATTAGTTTATCGAGCTATATTGGCTTTTTCCACTCGTGTAATAAATGCAAAAGATGTATATTTTATCGTTTTCTTTTCCACCAGTATTTATGTAAAGTCTTGTCATGCAACAGGGAGTTGCTGACCGAGTCTGCCTTGGCCTGTTACCATCAAGTGAGTGTAGTTGGGTCACAGCCGTCAGAGCCTTAAGGTGCGCCACGGACGCATGTTTTTGAAATTTATGACATGGCCTTAAATTTTGTGTATTGAAATCAACAGTTCCTTCTGTATCACCTGAAAATTCAGGACATTTTAAATATGTCTGTTGCATGAATTTCAGAATTTGGTGAACTTACTATACTGGATACTGCTCTGGAGTTTTGCTAATTGTTGTCATTTTAATTGCACTCCCAAATACACTCTGTTATGTTATTGAATGTTTCCATATGTTTTCACTTCATTTTGCATGTAAGCTGTGTTTAAATTCAATTTCTATTCACTGCATTAATCTGGTGTTTTGACTAATTACAAAATAATTTGGAATTGTCTTCTGAATTCCAAGATCCTCAAAGAATTTACCTATCTTGGCTCACCTAACTGATTGACATTTTATATTTCGAGATTTCATGTTGAACATTTAATTTTCAAATATCGGAACATTAAAAAAAAAAAAAATGCAGAGATGAGGGTGGGATCTTACACATCCATGGGAATGTGAAGGACACCGAGGAGGGTATATGGACAAATCGCGTTGTGCAGTCCATTTTGGACATTGCTAAATGTGAAGGTAGCTTATCCTTGAGATGGCAAGTCTACAGCCTCTGATTAATACCAAATAAAAAGTAAAAAATAACCCAAAAAAAAAAATATCGAACTTTTTATAAGTAAGCAAAGTCTATTCTTTCTAGACTTAGTTTGTCGATGCATGAGACTTGTGTGGCTGATTGCAGGTCATTGCTGGGAGGTCTCAGCCGAGCATCTCGAGAGAGTAAAATGGTATGCTCCGCACATTCGCCATGTTGTCTTAGACGTCAGGTGCAAACTAAAGAAAAGGTGAACATTTTCTAATTATGTGGAAACTTTTGGATTCCTGTCGACCAATTAAAGCTCCAGGCTTTGATTTTCTCTTGTCTAACTGGAAGAAGAGAGAGAGCTGGGATGATGATCCAAAGTCGAGACTAGTTTTGTTTGGGTACGTCATTTGTGCCAATTGATTGCTTGGATTTTTTTATTTTATATTTTTCAGCGAACAACATGATCTATAAAGTCAAGTAACCATGTGTGGCTTCTTCTCCTTCAAATTAGAAACCGCTCTAATTTCTAGGGCAATGTGGAACCAATCTTGTAAGCAAATGTGGTTAGTATACAACAACAACAACATACCCAGTATATATCCAACTGGTTGGGTCTGGGGGGTCAGTTGTACGTAGACCTTACCCTTGTAATTATACAAGATAATTATACAAGGAGGCTGTTTCCGTAGCGACCTAAGGTGCATTGCGCCGTTTGATATATTTTTTTCTAGAAACTTCACTAATAGAAGAAGCACTAGAATTTAATCCACAAACACATAGGTAATAATACCATCAACACATGAAATAGTAAGACTGAGAAAGCAAAAACATGAAGCATTATCCTAAGAATGTTGTTACATGTAAGAAATCAGTTGTATTAACTAGTTACTAGCGGCACATTGCGGTGGTATCATTTGAAACTCTGTAAATCTCTATATAACACAAAATTGAGTAATTCCTTGAAAATTAGCTCCGCGTATGTTGAGTTCATGTTAATCGACTTTCATGTCATCCCTTTTACTTCTCGTGTCTGGTTCTACAAAACCATCTGATTCTGGGGACGGGGACTTGTTCCCTCCCACCGCACGTTTGTACATCCTGAAATGGACTCTCTATACATTAAGTGAAAGAAAAAAAAAAAAGAAGATAAAACTATTTAAAAAGAACAACGAAAAAATGATCAATTAGGCAAAGGAAACCGATCAAACTAGCATAAGCCTCTAGGTAACTAAATCTCTAACGAGCAGAATACCTCACCATCCCGTCAATGGAGGATGGTAGAGTTGAACTCACAAGTATAGCAGTTGTGCCTTAAAACTGAATAAGGAAAGACTTACTCATCAAGGGCCTGAGCTCTCCTCTTGATTTGACCAGACCAAAGTGCATTCTTTTCTCCAAGCCACTCCTCTGCTTTGTTGCATTCTCCAATTATCTTCAAATATAAAAATCGAGATGATATTAAGCATTCGAACAGGATTGTTAAAGAAGAGTTGCTGAAAAAGAAAGAACGGAAAAAAAGTAACTCATACAAAGTCTTTTTCACCAGGGGGAAGTGATCTTGCAGCCATATGGTACTTCACTATAGAATTTAGCAGGTTTCTTGTAGCAGCTGCCCTGGCTTCTCCATTGTTGTATCGATATTCAATTGGGTCGAACATCTAGAAAACATATATTTTAGAAAATTCGATAGAAAGGAAAATTGTGAATCGAAGAAGACGACAAACGAAATGAACAATCCAACCTCCTGCAATTCCTTTAACTTTTCAGTATACACAAATTCGGACTCATCATTGCCATCTTCATAAAGCCATTCCTCAGTTCGTTGCAAACTACTCGAAATCGCTTCTTTCTCGGCATCAGTGGCGAAGCTCCGATAAGAACTTAGAAGCTGCAGAAATGGTTCCTTATAACTTATAAGTCTCAACATAAATATTAAATTGTAAAAATATTTGGAGGCACAAAAAGTGAACCTTATTCCGAGTTTCGTAAATATACGCCTCGAGGGCATTTTTCGTATCTTTGGTCCTTTCCATCTTAACGTCTTGCTGAGCTAACTGAAGTTCTTTTTCTCGAGCATGTGAGAGCTCGCCCTGTGTCATTCCACCATATGCATTTTCCTCGATAAATATGTCCTGCCTTCCGATAGCGTTTAACCTTCTAATTTCATGACCCTGCGAAAAAGAGGCATTAGTACTTAGACTTAGATAATGAACAAAAAGAGACACTCTGAACTTCCTCAGTAAAGGGAACTATAAAAATATTGTGATTCTTTACCAACTTAAAGCAAAAATTACATGGTGTTATTCAAAATACTTGCAGAAAACTCGTAGTCTGTAATACACCAACTAAATAACCGAGCGGTGTTTAAAAGCAGACTTACTAAATGACCATTCGCTTTGTCGAAAGACTCACTATTGCTTTGCTTCACATTGTTTACATTGCAATCATTCGCATGATAATCGATCAACTGCAGAGTGAAAAAGTAGAAATCGCAAATATAAAACGGCAAAAAAACTTCTAACTTGATAAAACAAATTGGCTAAAGAAACTAAATACATACTTACAGAGGCAGACTCTATGGAGACAATCCCGTTAAGGTTTAGCACGACTTTAAGTTTGATTTTCGTGTTCTCTACATGAGAAACTCTAAATGGGCCGATCTGAAAAGAAGATCGATCATCTTAAGTAAAGAGAAGTACGAAACAGAACAAAGTCCAAAGAGAACAAGCACCTAAACTGTACCAGTCTTTGTGATACTTCCGAATACAGTACCAAACTGGAAATGTCGAAATAACCGACATACAAACCTTAAAAGAGCTAATATTTGACGAGGCACCAGGTGGCAGCTCGTTACGATTTGCATAGAAGACTTCCATGTAAAATATCTCATTCCTGAATGTAAGCATCTTTACACTAGGAAAAACACTCCCTTTAGGAAACAACACGCGACCTGCCAATGAACAGACAGGTCTTTGATCTGCTGCAAATGCAATCGAGAATGGGGAGCAGTCCTGCACCTGCAAAAGAGACAGTGCAAATATTTAGAATACTATCAGTCGAGAGAAAATGATGAGATAAAAAAAGGTTGACATGTTTGGAGGCTGATCCAGAAAATGTCTCTGATTTTGTTTTGGCACAAGCAAAATAACGACGTCTGTAAGCAATTTCCTCTTGCTCGGACCACCACAATATATTTATCTGACGCAGCTGCCTTTATTTTATCGACAGACTAGATACAGTTGCCAAAATATAACTGTCCAAATTCAGCAATACCAAATCAATCCTCTGACCAAATTCAGCAGCTTAAGTCCTACAACTAACTACAGATAACCCACCGGGCTACTGAAAATAAGATGACAAGCTTCACGAAATCAAAACCCCAGTTAACTGTCCAGAAATCGTAAAGTAAGACTGGCCAATGAGCATCAGAAGAGCAAATACGAGACAATTCATAGATGAAACGATCACAGCAGTAGCATGACAATTTGTAAGAACTGACATAACAGGGAAAAGCAGCGAATTCTTGAAGGTAGCCACACGGGACTTTGATTTTTGTTACTGGTCGATAGAATCTTGTTTACCTAACTAGAATTTTTTCAGCACTTGGTATCAAATGATAGAATATGATTCTGGATCTACCAGTCTTGTTCACGATTTAAGCCCCCCGTATTACGATCTAGCATTACACGATTTTAAGTTTTCTATCATCGCAGGCTG